ATTTGATTTTTCGGTTTTCCAATTTTCCGATTTTTAAAAATTTTCGACTTTTCAATTTTTCGCTTACTCTATTTATCGATTCTTTTAGTTTTCAATTTTCGGTTTTTTAATTTTTAACTTTTGGATTTTTCGATTTTTGGGTATTTCTGTTTTTCGATATTTTTCGACTTCTCGATTTTTCAATTTGTGGATTTCTCGACGTGAAATATTGGGATATCGAAATATGAAGGTCGGGAAATCGAAAACTCATGAAGTCGACAACTCGAGAAGTCAAAAATCGAAAAGTCAATTTCAATTTTTCAATCGAAATATTGAAAAATCCTGAAACTGAAATATCAAAAAACTGAAAAATGAAAGAAAAACCGAATAATGGAAAAACAGAAAAATTCCGAAACTGAAACATCCAAAAGCTGAGATTCTAAAATATTCAAAAACTAGGAAATCGAAAAATTATAAATTGAAGGATGAAGAACCGGAAAATCGAAACAGTCGAAAGTCAAGGAATCAATCAAAAAATCCATTACTTAAAAAATCGAAAAATTGAGAAGTTAAAAAAGTCAAAAATTGAAAAATCGAAAAATCGAAATATTTAAAAATCGTAAAATTGAAGAGAAAAACTGAAAAAACGTCAAACTGAAACATCGGAAAATTGAAAAATTAAGGAATTGTAAAATCAAAAAATTGAATAATAAATAATAAATAATCTGAAAAATATCAAAGCTGAAATTTCGAAAAATTAAAAAATGAAAGAAAAACTGAAGAATGGAAAAACAGAAAAATTCCGAAACTGAAACATCCAAAAGCTGAGATTCTAAAATATTGAAAAACTGGGAAATCGAAAAATTAAAAATTGGAGGATGAAGAACTGGAAAATCGAAACAGTCGAAAGTCAAGGAATCAATCAAAAAATCCATTACTTGAAAAATCGAAAAATTGAGAAGTTAAAAAAGTCAAAAATTGAAAAATCGAAAAATCGAAATATTTAAACATCGTAAAATTGAAGAGGAGAAAAACTGAAACATCGGAAAATTGAAAAATTAAGGAATTGTAAAATCGAAAAATTGAATAATGAATAATCTGAAAAATATCAAAACTGAAATTTAGAAAAATTAAAAAATGAAAGAAAAACTGAAGAATGTTAAAACTGAAAAATCTCAAAACTGAAATATCCAAAAACTGAGAAATTAAAAAATTGAAAAATTGAGAAATCCACAACGTAAAAAAATGAAAAATTGAAGAATCGAAATATTTAAAAATCGTAGAGTCGAAGAGGACAAGAATTCGAAAAACGTAAAATTGAAACATTGGATAATTGAGAATTCGAAAAACTGAATGACAAATAAACTGAAATTTCGAAAAATTGAATACTGAAAAGAAAACACTGAAAAATCCAGTGAAATATCCAAAAACCGCGAATTTAAAAAATTGAAAAATTGAGAAATCGAAAAATCAAAAAGGTGAAAAACTGAAAAATCGAAACAGTCGAAAGTCAAGAAGTGGGAAAATCAAAACATCGATTATTTGAAAAATTGGTAAAAAATTGGGTTTATAAAAGTCAAAAATTGAAAAACCAAAATATTAAAAAATCGTAAAATAGAAAAGGTAAAAAGCTTAAACAACGTAAAACTGAAACGTCGGAAAATTGAGCAATCGAAAAACTGAAAATAGAGCAATTGAAAAATTGAGAAACTATAAAATCCAACAATCCGATAGTCATTAATTTTTTTGAGACATCCGACACTCTATATAAGCAAATCTAAAAAATATTAATGCAGTGATAGATAAACCACAAGTACAGACCCATCACATTTTTGACATTTTTTATAGTATTTATTCGGCAAAATTTTGAGCTGACGTGATCAATTTTTTGGAAAGGAGAAGCAAATATATTTTGATTAAAAAATTATTATGCTTCTCGTAACTTCAAAACATCTGAAAGATTTCAGAGCACTCGGTTTCGCAAATTCAAAATTAAATTGCAAAATGTTATTTTATAATTTTGATTTTTTTTCCAAAAATATCGACGTTTCGGGTAACAACTGAACGCGGAGTCATAAACAACATGTGTAGGACTACATTATTTTATACAATTTAAAACTAATTTACTATGTACAATTTTGAATTCACGTAATCACATTTTTGGTAGGGATGATTAGACAAATTTTGGTTTGCGTTTTACGATCTACACGGATTACAATACTTCCCGAGCGTAAGCGAAAGTAAAAAGATCGGGACCTTAAGATAAAATACGCTTATCAGTAGTGCAAATCTTGGTTTTATCCACAAACTAAAGTCGTTTTACGTTAGCTATCACACTTTGACCAAACCCGATAAAATTCCGTGGAACGTCTCGTTGATTCAGACGAAGGAAGTTTGTACACGCATCATGCAATTTAAAAATAAAATTTGACTTACGTTTTGCGTTCTCCAGTCCCTCTCGCCACGATAATTAGAGGTGCTCCTGTTGCCAACTCTCCTCTCGAAAAGTCTTCAGTAGCAGTTCCTTCGAAAATTGGTCTCTGGACGTATCTCGATCCATGTTTAACTCACTATCTGAAGAACCATTTTCAAAAAGGCCTTATATAGACAATTTTTTCTTTTTGAAGGGGTGCCGACCACCCTTTCACTGGTCTTAGAGGGAGGGATTATCTTCAGATTCATTTTCATTTCTAGAATAAATAAAATATAAAGACATGTTGTAGGTATGCAAATTTGGGAAATTTACACTTGTTTAACCTTACCTTGTTTGAACGGCTTGTGGCTAGCGAGACACGTGTGTGGTTAAAACTCTTGTAGTACGGGCATTTTTTGCGTTCTTTTTAGGACTCTTGTAAAAAATTATCTCTCGACAACCCAAAAGAAGTGCGATAAATTTTATTACTCCTGAAGTTTATGCAGCATTGAAAATAAATCAAACAAAATGTATACATATCCATGGATTTCTATTTTACATCAGAAGGAATATGATAACGTCTGATAAACTCGTCAACAATCGTTAATTATTTGTGCCTTTTGAAAATAAAAAAATAACCTATTTTTCCAGATTTAGCGTGAACTTATTTTGACGAATGTTAGTTATTCAGAGTAATAAAAATAATGTCTGGATAATCGGAATTTAGAGATAAAACATTCCATAATTTTTTTTTGTTTTTGAAATGGTTGGAAAGAATTTTGGGATATTTTTCGATTGTTTGAGTTTTCAATTTGTTTCGACTTCTGGGTTTTTGAGTATTCGACTTTTCCAATTTTCAATTTTTCGATTTTTTTGTTATGACTGGTAAATCGTTAACTTGATGATGTTATCTTACAATTTTGTCGAATGAACGTTATTTAAATGTTAAAAAGTAACATAGTCCTGAACTTGTGGTTTATGAATACTGACGTCAAAATTTTTGGAAAAAATAAATCAAAATGGTAGATATATGTATGTAACTATTTTTCGATTTCTCAATTCTTCTAATTTCCCATTTCTTGATTTGTCGATATTTCAGTTTTAAGATTATTCAGTTTTCTTCTTTTTCAGTTATTTACTTTTCTAAATTCTCGATTTTTCGAATTCTCAATGTCTTGATTAATCGACTTTTTGATTTTTCAGATTTTCAGTTGTTCAGTTTTCCAATACTTTGATTTTGGGATTTTTCAGTTTTTCTTAGATAATTTTCAATTTTTTATTCGATTTTTTAAGTTTTTGGTTTTTCGACTTTTCGATTTCTCGATTTTCTAATTTTTCGATCTTTCAATTTTTCGTTGTTTCAGTTTTGGGACTTTTCTATTTTTCTTCGATTTTTTGATTTTGTTTTAGTTTAAAATTTTTCATTTTTTATTATTTTACTTTTTGGTGTCGCGATCTTTTGATGTTTCGTTTCTCGATGTTTCAGTTTTTCAATTTTTCGATGTTTCGACTTCCCTATTTTTCGAGTTTTCGACTTTTCGGCTTTTCAATTTTTCGATTTTCCAATTTTTAGATGTTCCGATTTTTCATTTCTCCCATTTCCCAATTTTTCGTCATTTGAGATTGGAATTTTTCAGTTTTTCGGTTTTTCAGTTAATCGATTCTCCTCCAAATTTCAAATTTTTCATTTTTTCGATTTTTTTTAATTTCGGATTTTTCGATTTCTCGGTTTTTAGATTATTCGGCTTTCCGATTTTTGATTTTTCGATTTTTAAATTTTAGATTTTCTAATTTTTGATTTTTCAGCGTTCAATTTTTCGAATTCTCTATTTTTTACTTTTTCAATTTTTAAATTTTAGATTTTTGATTTCTTGATTCTTCAGTTCGTTGATATTTCAATTTTTCGAATGTTTAAACTTTAGATTTTAGATTTTTAATGTTTTGATTTTCCGATTTTTCGTTTTTTCGATTTTTGAAATTTCAGATTTTTCGATTATTCGGGTTTTCGATTTTTAATTCCCTCATTTTTCAATTTTTCGTATTTTGATTTTTCAGTTTTTTAATGTTTCGATTGTCCCCCCAAAACACTAATATGCTCAAATCCACAGAACACCAAAATCCTCAAATCCTCAGAACATCAAAACATTGACATTCTCAGAAGACTTAAATCCTCACACCCTCAATACACTAAAATCCCCAGATCTTCAAAACACCAAAATCACCAAACCTTCAAATCACCAAAGTATGACAAATACCATAAATAGCCAACAGGACGGGAGAAAAGGATTTTTGTGAGGATATGGGAAATTGTGGCGGGGTGGAGTGAATAAAATTCTGTAGTTTAGTTAGAAAAATCTATAAAAATGTAAAAAACTAAAACTAACACAAGTATTTACAATTAAAAAGCACTCACACAATTATTTACAAAAAAAAAACTAATTCATATAATATTTACAATTAAAACGTAGTTACACAAGTATAATTTACAATTAAATCACAGTCATTTTTATGTAGGTATGTACAATATAATACAACCTACGCATCACTGATGTTTGCGCATTACAAAGGACTACCATATGGGCGTGGACCTCAAGCAGCCCTTTCTGAATTAGGGAAGCATGTTCAACAACTTGTGTTTCACTAGGTCGAGGGATGTGCGGGCGTCCTCGCAGCTACTGTGCCCTCTTCCTTCCTGAACATGCCTTCCTAATTCGGAAAGGGCCAGCTCCTTGAGACCACGCCGAAACGGCATTCCTTTGTGATGCGGAAACATCAGGGACGTGTCGAGTACCGTGCCGTGCACCATCCTCAACGCCCTCAAGTCGTTGTCCAACCCATGGCCGATGAGGATGGTGTCGGCACGGATAAACTCGCACAGTTCTTTCTGCGCTTTCTTCAGACTCTTTGCGTTTTGCAAATCTCTCTCCGTTACCCCAGAAAACTGGGTATTGAAGTCTACGACACTGTGAGCAGGTCTCACGAATGTGTCGTAGACAACAACCCCATCGAAGCCGACGACGCTAACCCTAGCAACTTCTAGCCCTGCGACTGTGTAACACATCTCGCAGTCCAGGGCGTAGATGTTGCGGGCGGGGTACGTCGACTTCCTGGTGGTGACGAACGAAGTGAAGGGACCGTTGACGCCGCGTTCCACGCCACTCCAGACGTGGACTCGGCATGTGGTGCAGCCCATCGAGCCGGGGACGCGGCCACAGCAGGTGTATTGGGCTGCATATATCTTGCCGTAATGATATATGCAGCCCTCCTCAGTTATGTAGTTTTCCCGGGTAGTGAAGAAGGGGCGGTCGCACCTAGTGCACAGGTGCTTCGAGCCGGGAACGCTGTCGTCGGGCGTCGGGTTCTCCTTCACCCATGGGTTGTCCAACAAAAAAAACACTTTTTTCCCCATGGAGCAAGGGAAACCGAATTTAAATTGTTCCACCTTGGTTAGCGCATACGGCTGCAACACGTCGGTGAAGCTGACGACCCACTGTGATAGGTCGTAGTCATACGGGGTGAGGGCTGAAAAATAAATATAAATGATACATACTGAATTAATATTAAATCCGACTTAAACAATTAACACGACTCCGAGTGCAATGGAAGAAGCGTCAGTTTTTAAAATAAAAGTGTTCACTTCGATACTGTAAAATTGGTGGTTTTACTAAAGCATTTTTCAATGTCTCAAAAGAGTTTTGACATTCCACGTTCCAACTAAATTGCACATTTTTCTTGCTTAATTTGTTTATTGGCGTTGTTATGTTAGCAAAATTTTCTAAAATAAAGTTTTATTTTCTCTTCCCTATTCTAAGCTCCACTCCCCGGTCTCACGACGAATAAAAAAATTCATCACAATTGAGATGGGGTGGGTGGGCGGGGCTTATCCATTTCAAGAATAAAAGACTTAAAATATCAATTGGTGAATTCGAGGTTAGAATTATGTTTTAAGTATTACGTTGTTGATAATAAGCTCTATACATTAAGAAAAAGAAAAAATTATTAAGCCTCACCCACCCGCCCTTGTCTCAATTGTGATGAACTTTTCATTTATTGTCACTTAAAAGGGCGGAGCTTAATTACAAAATCTATATTTCTTTAGAAAAGTTTACCATTTTAAACATGTTTTAAATTTCTTGTTGCGAAAAGGTGACTGTACGTATATTAAGGAAAACTCTCAATGTAAGCCCCGCCATTTCAATTGTGATGAATTTTTATTAGTCGTGAGCCTGGGGGGCGGAGCTTAATTGCAAAATCCATATTTGCCTACAAAAATTTACCATGTTAGGAATATCATGTAGATGATAAAACGCCAACCAAAATTTGTCTAATCATCCTCACCAATAATGTGATGACGTCACTTCAAAATTGTACGTAGTAAATGGGTTTTTCTCACTCCATAATTTCTTGTACCGAAATATGGACTTTGCGGTTAAGCTCCACCCCTTGGTCTCACGACGAATAAAAAAATTATCACAATTGAGATGGGGTGGGTGGGCGGGGCGTATCCATTTCAAGAATAAAACACTTAAAATATCAAGTGGTCACTTTGAGGTTAGAATTATGTTTTAAGTATTATGTTGTTGAAAGTAAACTCTATACATTAAGAAAAAGAAACTAATGGTTAAGCCCCACCCACTCGCCCCAGTCTCAATTGTGATGAATCTTTCATTTATTGTCACTTCAAAGGGCGGAGCTTAACTACAAAATCCACATTTTTTTGAAAAATTCTTTAATTGTGTTTTATACTAGCAAAACGTCTTAAATTAACAATTTTGTTGAAATCGTAATAATCCAATGATTTTTTTTTTTTCGGGAAAATGTAGTTATTTTTTTTGTTGAATTGAAAAATGGAAATCTAAAAACGAAAACTCGAGCTTTCAGTTTCTCTATTATTTGAATGTTCCGATTTTTTGATTCCTCGCTTTTTCGACTTTTCGGCGTTTCAATTATTACATTTTTCGATTTTTCAGTTCTTCAGTTCTTTGTCATTTCAATTTATCATCAATTTTTTAGGTTTTTGACTACGTAATTTTCCAATTTTTCCAATTTTTGATTTTTTAAATTTTGAATTTTTCGATTTTTCGGTTTTTTGATTTTCCAGTTTTTAGATTCTTCAATTTTTCTAGATTTCCCAATTTTTCGATATTTGCGCTTATCGATTTTTCGATTTCTCAAACTGGAATATCAAAAAACTGAAAAATGAAAGAAAAACTGAATAATGGAAAAATAGAAAAATTCCAAAACTGAAACATCCAAAAGCTGAGATTCTAAAATATTGAAAAACTGGGAAATCGAAAAATTAAAAAGTGAAGAAATAAAGAACTGGAAAGTCGAAACAGTCAAAAGTCAAGGAATCAATAAAAAAATCCATTACTTGAAAAATCGAAAAATTGAGAAGTCAAAAATTGAAAAATCGAAATACTTAAAAATCGTAAAATTGAAGAGGAGAAAAACTGAAAAAACGTCAAACTGAAACATCGGAAAATTGAAAAATTAAGGAATTGTAAAATCGAAAAATGGAATAATAAATAATCTGAAAAATATCAAAACTGAAATTTCGAAAAATTAAAAAATGAAAGAAAAACTGAAGAATGTAAAAACTGAAAAATCTCAAAACTGAAATATACAAAAACTGAGAAAATAAAAAATTGAAAAATTGAGAATCGACAACCTAAAAAATTGAAAAATTGAAGAATCGAAATATTTAAAAATCGTAGAATCGAAGAGGACAAAAATTTGAAAAACGTAAAATTGAAACATGGGATAATTGAGAAATCGAAAAACTGAAAAACAAATGAACTGAAATTTCGAAAAATTGAATATTGAAAAGAAAACACTGAAAAATCCAGTGAAATATCCAAAAACTGCGAATTAAAAAATTGAAAAATTGAGAAATCGAAAAATAAAAAAGTAAAAAACTGAAAAATCGAAACAGTTGAAAGTCAAGAAGTGGGAAAATCAATACATCGATTATTTGAAAAATTGGTAAAAAATTGGGTTTATAAAAGTCAAAAATTGAAAAACCAAAATATTTAAAAATCGAGAAGTCAAAAATCGAAAAGTCAATTTTAATTTTTCAATTAAAATATTGAAAAATCCCGAAACTGAAATATCAAAAAACTGAAAAATGAAAGAAAAACTGAATAATGGAAAAACAGAAAAATTCCAAAACGGAAACATCGAAAAGCTGAGAATCCAAAATATTGAAAAACTGGGAAATCGAAAAATTAAGAAGTGAAGAAACGAAGAACTGGAAAGTCGAAATAGTCGAGAGTCAAGGAGTCAATCAAAAAATCGATTAATTGAAAAATCGAAAAATTGAGAAGTTACAAAAGTCAAAAATCGAAATATTTAAAAATCGTAAAATTGAAGAGGAGAAAAACTGAAAAAACGTCAAACTGAAACATCGGAAAATTGAAAAATTAAGGAATTGTAAAATCGAAAAATTGAATAATAAATAATCTGAAAAATATAAAAACTCAAATTTCGAAAAATTAAAAAATGAAAGAAAAACTGAAGAATGTAAAAACTGAAAAATCTCAAAACTGAAATATCCAAAAACTGAGAAAATTAAAAATTGAAAAATTGAGAATCGACAACCTAAAAAATTGAAAAATTGAAGAATCGAAATATTTAAAAATCGTAGAATCGAAGAGGACAAAAATTCGAAAAACGTAAAATTGAAACATGGGATAATTGAGAAATCGAAAAACTGAATAACAAATAAACTGAAATTTCGAAAAATTGAATATTGAAAAGAAAACACTGAAAAATCCAGTGAAATATCCAAAAACTGCGAATTAAAAAATTGAGAAATCGAAAAATGAAAAAAGTGAAAAACTGAAAAATCGAAACAGTCGAAAGTTAAAAAATGGCAAAAACCAATACATCGATTATTTGAAAAATTTGTAAAAAATTGAGTTTATAAAAGTCAAAAATTGAAAAACCAAAATATTTAAAAATCGTAAAATAGAAAAGGTGAAAAGCTTAAACAACGTAAAACTGAAACGTCGGAAAATTGAACAATCGAAAAACTGAAACTAGAGGAATTGAAAAATTGAGAAACTATGAAATCCAAAAATCCGTTTAGGATGTGTATCAGATCAGGGAACATGGCTTATAGATCAAATAGTTTCTGATCAAACAAGTTCTCAGGCTACGAATTAGTCATTAATTTTTTTGAGACACCCGACACTATATATAAGCAAATCTAAAAAATATTAATGCAGTGATAGATAAATCACAAGGACAGACTCATCATATTTCTGACATTTTTTATAGTATTTATTCGGCAAAATTTTGAGCTGACGTGATCAATTTTTTGGAAAGGACAAGCAAATATATTTTGATTAAAAAATTATTAGGCTTCTCGTAACTTCAAAACATCTGCAAGATTTCAAAGCACTCGGTTTCGCAGATTCAAAATTAAATTGCAAAATGTTATTTTATAATTTTGATTTTTTTTCCAAAAATATCGACGTTTCGGGTAATAACTGAACGCGGAATGATAAACTACAAGTGTAGGACTATGTTAATTTATACAATTTAAAACCAATTTACTGTGTACAATTTTGAAATGATGTCATCACATTATTGGTAGGGATGATTAGACAAATTTTGCTTTGCGTTTTACCATCTACACGGATTACAATACTTCCCGAGCGTAAGCGTAAGTAAAAAGATCGCGACCTTAAGATAAAATACGCGTATCTGTACTGCAAATCTTGGATTTTATCCACAAACTAAAGTGGCATTACGTTAGCTATCACACTTTGACCAAATCCGATAAAATTCCGTGGAACGTCACGTTGATTCAGACGAAGGAAGTTTGTACACGCATCATGCAATTTAAAAATAAAATTTGACTTACGTCTTGTGTTCTCCAGTCTCTCTCGCCACGATATTTGGAGTTGCTCCTGCTCCCGACTCTCTTCCCTGAATATCTTCAGAAGGCGTTCCTCCGAAAATTGGTCTCTGGACGTACTATGTCGAGCCATGTTAACTGCACTATCTGACGGACCATTTTCGAAAAGGCCTTATATACAGAATTTTCCCTTTGGAAGGGGTGGTGACCACCCTCTCATTGGTCTTAGGGGTAGGGGTTATTTTCAGATTCATTTTCATTTCTAGAATAAACAAAATTTAAAGACCTTGTTGTTGTAAGCAGATTTGGGAAATTTACACTTTTTTGACCTTCCCTTATTTGTACGGCTTGTGCCTAGTGAGACCCATGTGTGGTTAAAACTTTTGTAGTATGGGCATTTTTTACGTTGTAGGATTCTTGTAAAAAATTACCTCTCGGCAACCCAAAAGAAGTGCGATAAATTTTATTACTCCTGAAGTTTTTGCAGCATTGAAAATAAATCAAACAAAATATATACATATCCATGGTTTTCAATTTTACATCAGAAGGAATATAAAAAGGTCTGATAAACTCGTCAACAATCGTTAACTATTTGTGCCTTTTGAAAATAAAAAATTAACCTATTTTTCCAGATTTAGCGTGAACTGATTTTGACGAATGTTATTCAGAGCACGCAAATAATTTTTTTATAGAATCGATTAGTAATAAAAATAATGTCTGGATAATCGGAATTTAGAGATAAAACACTCGATTAAAGTGTTCGTTCCATCTATACAATAATCATATTCTGATAAGTTTTGGCGTGGCAGTTAGTTCGGGAGATATTTCCAATTAATAGAATAAAGTTCATTAAGATGTGGACATTATCTTGAATGATAAAGATAAAGTCACACCTATTCAGTTCAAACATTTACGTAGTTTTTCTAAAAAAGCCATTTTCCAAAAATCGTAACTAGACGAAACGCTGTTTCTTTTCTAAAAAATGCGACCTGTTGTAAGAAATCTTTCTCAGGGTTTTCTTTTAATTCCAAAGTCGTTAAGTTTGTCACTGTGTTATTATTAAAACCACAGAAATCGTCGACCGGTCGTAAATCAATGAGGACAAGAGATTTTGCTAAATCTTATTTTATTTACTAAGTTACTAACGATCTTCTGTTATCTAAAGAATCATAAACCTATCCCTCCAATTTGTGCGTGTATCGACTCGGCAGTTTTACTGTTACCTGAAAAGTACTTAGCTACCAAATTACATTAACACGTCCATTAAATTTATGACAGTAGTTATTTCATTATACATTTCTACCTAGATATTGTTTGGCTATGGCCACCTAAGCATCTAACCATCTAAGGTTACTTACCTGCTGGTACTGTAATTAGTGATTTGACTTGCCGTTTAAGTAGGATGGTAATCTGTCCCTCTGATAAAAACATTCAAGTATACCTTACTCCATTATTAAGTACTTACCATTTCTCTTAACCCATTGCCAATTGTGTTTTCGAAAGAAAGAAATTTTATAAAATATTTTCAATTTTACGACTTTCACCACTCGACTCGAAGCGAAAATATGTAAATGCCGAAAATATTAATTATTATTCAAGGGCGAAAATTTTCCGGTTTTTCAGTTTTTCGATTTTCAGTGTTTCGATTTGCGATTTATCGAAATTTCATTGTTTCTATTTTTCGATTGTTCGATTTTTCAAGTTTTCGCCTTTTCGGATTTTCACTTTTTCGATTTTTTTGTAGTTTATGTATCCGTGTCGAGTTGTTACCTTAGGATCCAAATTTTTAGAAGAACAATCAGAATCTGTAACATTTCACAAGTTAACTTTGAAACTGCAAAGTCGAATGTTTTGAAATCTTGGAAACGTGTTGAGGTTATCGGAACCTGGTAAATCGTTAACTTGATGATTTTATCTTACAATTTTGTCAAATGAACGCTATTTAAATGTTAAAAAGTAACATAGTCCTGAACTTGTGTTTTATGAATCCTTGAGGAATATTTATACTGATATTAACAGTTTTGGAAAAAAAATCTCAATTAATCGAATTCTTGGATTTTCGAATTGGTGATTTGTCAACTTCTGGATTTCTTGATTTTTCAGGTTTTCAGGTGTTCATTTTTTTATTTTTTGGGTAATTCATTTTTCACTTTTTCGATTTTTTAAGAGTTTGGTTTTTTGACTTTTTTTTTTCGTTTTCTCAGTTTGCCGATGTTTCAGTTTTGGGATTTTTCAATTTTTCTTAGATATTTTATTTAATTTCTGGAGTCTTCAAATTTTCGAGTTCTCCATTGTTTTAACTTTCGATTCTCAATTTTCCGATATTTTCAAATTGAACGTTTCTAAATTTTCAAATATTCGATTTCTCAGTTTCTTGGTTTTGCTTTTTCACTTATTCAATTTTTTAAGTGTTCAATTTTTCAGCTTTTCGATTTCTAGATTTTCCAGTTTTTTGATTTCCCAATTTTTCCATGTTTTGGTTTTGGGACTTTTCAATTTTCCAATTTTTCTTCGATTTTTCAATTTTTTGATATTTCGGGAATTTACAATTTTTCGATTCTACAATTTCTCGCTTATTCAAATTTTCGAATTTTCGGTTTTCCAATTTTTTGATGTTCCGATTTTTCAGTTCTTCGATTTACCAATTTTTCGTCATTTGAGATTATAATTTTTCAATTTCTCTATTTTCCAGTTTTTCGATTTTTTTAAATTTCGGATTTTTCGATTTCTCAATTTTTCGATTATTCAGCTTCTGTATTTTTAATTTTTCGGTTTTTAAATTTTAGATTTTTCAGCATTCGATTTTTCGATTTCTCGATTTTTTACTTTTTCCATTTATCAATTTTTCGAATTTTTAAACTTAAGATTTCAGCTTTTTAATGTTTAGATTCTTCGATTTTATACTTCGAAGTTCCGATTTTTCCAGTGTTCAAATCTTGATTTTTCGATTTTTCAGTCCATCGGTTTATCTTTTTTTAATTCTAAATTTTGTTTTGTTTTTGAAGTAGTTTGAAAGAATCTGGGGAACTGATTTTTCAATCTTTCGATTTCTCTATTTTTCGATTGCTTGATTTTTGGATTTATAGATTTTTTTAAATTTAATTTTTTTCAATTTTCAGGTCTTCCATTTTCCCATTTTTTCCTCATTTGAGATCGGAATTTTTCAACTTCTCGATTTTTCAGTTTTTCCATTCTTCAATTTTCCGATTTTTTTAAATTTCAAATTTTGCAATTACTCAGCTTTTCGATTTTTAATTTTTTAATTTTTAAATTTAGATTTTCCAATTTTTGATTTTTCAACGTTCAATTTTTTACTTTTTTGATTTTTCAATTATTAGATTTTTTAATTTTAGATTTTTTAGTTTTTCGTTTTCTTTATTTTCCAGTTTTTAAAATTTTAGATTGATTTCTCGATCCTTCAGTTTGTTAATAGAAATATTTTTCGATCGTTCGATTTTTCGATTTTTCGATTTACACATTGTTTTTAAATTTACTGTTTTACTTTTCGGTTTTTCAATCTTTCAATGTTTTGTTTCAGTTTTTCAATTTTTCAATGTTTCGATTTTTCGGCTTTTCAATTTTTCGATTTTCCAATTTTTCAATTTTTTAATTTTCCAATTTTTCGAATTTTGAAATTTTTCAATTTCTCGATTTTTCAGTTTTTCGGTTGTTCAATTTTCCGATTTTTCATTTTCTCGTTTTTTCTAAATTTCGGATTTTCGACTTCTCGGTTTTTCGATTTTCCAATGTTTGGATGTTCCGATTTTTCAATTCTTCAATTTCCCAATTTTTCGTCATTTGAGATTGAATTTTTCAATTTTTCGATGTTTCAGTTTTTCGATTCTTCAATTTTCCGATTTTTCAATTTTTTGATTTTCGATGTATAGTAGATTTTTTAAATTTTAAAATTTTTCAATTTTTACTATCTTACTTTTCGGGTTTTAGATGTTTTAATGTTTCGTATCCCAATATTTAGGTTTTTCAATTTTTCGATATTTCGACTTTTGGGTTTATCGAGTTTTCGATTTTTCGGCTCTTCAATTTTTCGATTTTCCAATATTTGGATGTTCGGATTTTTCAATTCGTCGATTTCCCAATTTTTTCATTTTTCAGTTTTTTTTAAATTTCGGATTTTTGGATTTCTCGGTTTTTCGATTATTCAGCTTTCCGATTTTTATCTTTAAAATTTTTCAATTTTTGATTTTTCAGCGTCCAATTTTTGGGTTCCTCTATTAACTTTACTTTTTCGATTTATCAATTTCACGATTTTTAAATTTTAGATTATTCAGTTTTTACTTTTCGGTTTTTCGATTTTTCAATGTTTTGTTTCAGTTTTTCAATTTTTCAATGTTTCGATTTTTCGGCTTTTCAATTTTTCGATTTTCCAATTTTTCAATTTTTTAATTTTCCAATTTTTCGAATTTTGAAATTTTTCAATTTCTCGATTTTTCAGTTTTTCGGTTGTTCAATTTTCCGATTTTTCATTTTCTCGTTTTTTTCTAAATTTCGGATTTTCGACTTCTCGGTTTTTCGATTTTCCAATGTTTGGATGTTCCGATTTTTCAATTCTTCAATTTCCCAATTTTTCGTCATTTGAGATTGAATTTTTCAATTTTTCGATGTTTCAGTTTTTCGATTCTTCAATTTTCCGATTTTTCAATTTTTTGATTTTCGATGTATAGTAGTTTTTTTAATTTTAAAATTTTTCAATTTTTACTATCTTACTTTTCGGGTTTTAGATGTTTTAATGTTTCGTATCCCAATATTTAGGTTTTTCAATTTTTCGATATTTCGACTTTTGGGTTTATCGAGTTTTCGATTTTTCGGCTCTTCAATTTTTCGATTTTCCAATATTTGGATGTTCGGATTTTTCAATTCGTCGATTTCCCAATTTTTTCATTTTTCAGTTTTTTTTAAATTTCGGATTTTTGGATTTCTCGGTTTTTCGGTTATTCAGCTTTCCGATTTTTATATTTAAAATTTTTCAATTTTTGATTTTTCAGCGTCCAATTTTTGGGTTCCTCTATTAACTTTACTTTTTCGATTTATCAATTTCACGATTTTTAAATTTTAGATTATTCAGTTTTTACTTTTCGGTTTTTCGATTTTTCAATGTTTTGTTTCAGTTTTTCAATTTTTCAATGTTTCGATTTTTCGGCTTTTCAATTTTTCGATTTTCCAATTTTTCAATTTTTTTATTTTCCAATTTTTGGAATTTTGAAATTTTTCAATGTCTCGATTTTTCAG